AAACTGTCATATTCTGCACATTTCTTATACTATCTACATACATAAGAGTATAATTCATATGTATAATATCAGTTAAAATAAGTGCTTCAACATAGTTAACATTGCAGAAAAACAATATATTAGACGTTAAGTACTTTGTCAGGCTTAATATTTATCTGTAGATAGATACCCCCAAAGCTTTTTTCTTATTTCAAAAGAAGACCTTAATCGAAAGTATTATTTAATGTTTAAATAAAGGTTCATTCGTTTTTCTGTTTTGCACATCCTCCTATTAATATCTTTGTACATCCTGCACTAAACTGTTTTATTGTAGAGATCACTTATAGTATCTTCTTGATTTTTTATATTCTATATTTCTATCATTGACCTTCTACTTTCCCCCTATGAAAGTATGTACTCTTAATATTTTTTTCATCAAATATAACACATAACAATAATTCAATAACGTGCTTTAACCACTGGTGCACACAAGGTACACACAGCCATAATAACTTTGCACTATTAGTGTAGGACACTTATGTATGTACAACATCTGAAGATGTGTAGTTTTATTCATGCTTTCACATAATTGTACAGCATATTGCTATACTATTTCAGACTCAGTATTTACATTCTTATATTCAAAGAAAATCAGTCATATCTTTAAAAACTACAAGTCCTTTTATATTAGCTGTGCACCGTTATGGTGTAAATATAACCTATCTACGAATTAGATCAATGTAAACGTCAGCCGAATTAGTATTGATACTGCAAGGAGACGTATTGTGTGAAGAGAAATTGAAGATATGTACAGCACTTTAGCTCGACCAAAAATCGTTTATAAATGTGCTATATAAATAAAACTTGATTTGATTTGATTTGATTTGAAGATGTTGTTTAATTGTTGATATATTTATGATCCACGTCAAGTATTCAGTTTCGGCGGCATTTCTTCAGTTTTTCCAAAGGTCTTCTCATCAGGGCTCTATAAATAAAGAACTACGGCAGATCTGTAATATGTAATGCAGCCGAACCGTCTATTACAATGCCGTTATGTGATGACTATCAAAGAGAAAAGCAAGAACACTCGGAATTAAGTATTATTTTCTTTAAAAAAAAAAGTTTGGCGGATTTAATATGGCATGAACACCATATCCCTACTTGCATTGCGGTTAAAACATCCAATCAGCGAGCTTAAACCATAGCTGAGGATCGTGGGTAATCAGTTCAGTGGCTGTGTATCTGTGTATCGCGTCTGTTTCCGGTTATTTTTATTTTGAAATTCAGTTCCTGACGGACGCCAAAAAAAGCCCGAGATTATGGAATTAAACAAATAAATAAAAACAAGGATCATTGTATGTTATTGGTGAGTAAATAACAGTGTGTTATTTTGAAAAGAATAACAAATTAGAAGGAAAATAAGATACAGATGTCAGTATTCTGAGGCTCTGAGCCCCATTTCTTTTCCTCACAGATGACAAAAAAGGTCCGACATTATACGATTTAAAATAAAAACAATAATCGTGGCTTGATATTGATTAAGAACATGTTTTTATGAACTCCACAGCTTCCGGTCTTCCAAGACCCGAACTGACAAAAAGACGTGCTGCAGGAACTAAACATACTACCAATAGAAATACATTGCTTTTAAAATCGTTCTGTGTGACACGAAAAAAAGGGGAAAATCGTGTTGGTGAACACGAATCAATAGATTAAATGTCGTGACTATAACACGAAATGCCATGAGACTGGGTTGGACCACAGCACAAGGTCTGGTCTGAGGTTGATGGGCATGATGTCAGCTGAAAAGCATAGCCTCTGCTGAGATAATAGTTTACTTCTTTATAGTATGTAAAGTAGGCACTGAAGTATGGCTGGGTAGCTGGGCACAGAGGATATTGTGAATGTTCTCTTTTAAACTGATTATCTCAAAAATAATTTGAAAATCAAAACAAATCACAAAAGAACTGCGTGTTTGATGGCTCTTTATCACCATACCATGATACATATACCATTTTCCAAAACATGCTGTGGTGTTGGAGATCATTGAGACTGTAATACCTTCCAGTCAGCCTTTGTTCATTGTACTGCAGTAGGGACATCTACTTATAGACCCTTGAGTTACATAACTGCATGGATGAGTGCACTATAGTTTATGCTGATAACACAATGTGCTATAGCCAGCTATACACTTCTTTCTACATTCAAGGAGCAGTGTGTAGTATTTAGGGAGATATATTGGTTAATAAGGAATATAATATTTAGAACTATGTTCATACTCCAGACCATTATAAAGGGAGGGTTGAGCAGAGGGGTATCCAGTTGGTTGCAATCTGAATCATCCAGCTAGATGCTACAGAATCCTAAACACACTCAACCTTTCTTTTAGATAATTTATTTTTCCTATTTGTCTTTATTGGATTGTGCAGTTGAAGGTTGCAGACAGAAAAAAGGGAAGAAAGGATGTGACCTTCATAGGACTTAGTACGTGGGGCACGTGCTCTCCCAGGTGAGCACAACAACATACACACTTATCCCACAGTGAATCGTTTTAACTGTCAGTAGTTAAAGTTAGCTTAGGATGATACTGTTTTGTTAAAGCATACTGTAATATAATCTTTCCTGAAGTTTATCTATAAAGCTTTGATTCAGTCCAGCACTGCCTTGGCCTCTTTTATCTCCAGCTGTGCACTGCAGATGTGAGGGGTTAGAGGGAAGCTGCAGGGGCTGGAGGTGGACTCCATTAGTCCAGTTAACACGTCTGTGTAGCAGTGGCGGCGCCAGAGGTAAATAGCACTTTGCCCCTGCTTACACCTATATGTCGTGAGCTGATTATCGTGCCTTCATTGTAACAGTCGCGGGTAGACTGTGTGTGTGCGTGTGGGGAGTGTTGCAGTAGACAATTTCACTGTAGCGCCCGGTACATTAATGGGAAACCCTAAATGTTTGAGCACCCTCTATGAAACGTCAAGCTACCCCACAGCACCCACAAAAGAAAATATCTGGCGCCGCCACTGCTGTGTAGCGCTCATTCTCAGGATTACTGTGACGCTCTGGAGTGAAGACCAATGCCATTAGCACATTTAGCATGAATGTGTGTGTCGGGGCAGCTGGGCTCATTCTCAGTATTAATCAGACAGACGCCTGTCTAATCAACTGGAAGGCCACGGCCTGGAAACAAGCCTCATCTTGACACACATAATGTGACATTTCTGCACTCGCCTAGCTGTTAATATTTAAGTTTTCATCTATTATTCTATATCTCATTTACCCTCTGTTACCCGGGGAGTCATAGTGGTGAAAAGCTTTTTTTAAATCATGCTACACAACTTTTTTTTTTCTGAGGCAGATAAGCCCTGCCCCATTCCGTTAGCTCTCTTTGATAGCCTCAACTAAAGAAGCTAGTTACCAGGATTATATAGATTTCGCAGCTGGGTCATTTTTTTAATGTGGTGCCTTTGGTGTCCCCAGTACAAAATATGTTGTTTTTTGTCTAAATCTGGACAAATACTAATTACATTTTGTTTTTAATGTGTGTTAAATTGTTAATTTATTATTAATACAATGATATGCACATCTAAGTTTTTTTTTTCATTTTAAAAGCATTGGTTAAAGGGATATCGAGGAGTTTTTCCATGTCCCCACTGCTGGTCATTCAACTTAGATCTAAAATATAGCTATTAAAAACAAAATTAATTTATAAATATGTTATTATTATTTTATTTAACTTGTCAAAATCTATCTAATCAAATAATGTTTTTATTCAAATTGTAAAAAAAATATATATAAAAATAAGGTTTAATGTTTGTCCCCGAGGGTCGCTGTCCACCCTGTTGAGCTGTGTATCTGTCCCTTTAAGAAAAATACATATTTCTCAGTGACATCACACCTATGAAATTAAATGACACCAGAGGCGAGAAATTCAACTGAGGTAAGCTGTGTGGGTTTCTACTGCTCTTACAACTGATTTGGATGTTTCTGTCAATTTTGTTTGATGTGTTTGAACATAACATGTCCAACCTGTTAGGCCTAAGTATGAAGGATATTAATCGAATTCTATTATTTTAAAAAGTTCCTTTAAAAAGTGATTGATTCCTCATAAAGTATCCAAGGTCATGCTAGCAAATATGCTAACACAGGCAGGGTAAAGGCTAACTTTTGCTCAAAATGTCCACCCTGTTAGTGTCCACCCTGTTAGGCTTATTCAACTAACAGGGTGGACAACATCCTAACAGGGTGGACATGTAAGTATTGTTTACTTATTACAACATTTGTTAATATTATATTATATTATTTATTGTTATATTATTATATTACTATTATAACATTATAATAATGTTTTTATAATATAATAAATGATCACCACCATTAGATCTATAGGCACAACACAAACTGCTGCAAAAAATCCTAGGGAAACACTGATGGGTATATTATCTAGTATATTATGTACACAAGGATTATAGGTATAGTACTTAAAGTAATGGCATGCATTTGTATAGGAATGGCAGTCATTTGCATTCAGGGCTCTTGGATTCTCCAAGAAGAGAGGGATGTTGGACAGGGATGCAGACCGTAATACTTTTCAGAGGAAGAAGAGTTCAAGCAGTCTAGAAAGTAAAGCCAGTATCCATACCTTCTTTCTTCGTGATGACGTGAGTCGTATGACAACTGGGCGCAAGCAGACCATCACAGTGAGGAAGAAGAAGATGCAGAAGCGACTGCTTTCTGACACACTCAAGAACCTTCACAGGAAATTTGGATCCGAAAACTCAGACAACGTGTCATACTGTCTTTTTTGTGCATGTCGGCTATTTTGGGTCGTGGCCCCTACTGATGCTGATCGGGCCACGTGCCAGTGTAAAACCCATGAAAACCTCCAGTTCATGGCTGACACCCTCTACACCCTCACTCTATTGAGGAGATGGTTGACCGCACTGTCTGTGCCACAGAAATGAAAGCTTGTGCCTATGGTGATTGTGTAGAGTGCCGCCTCACCACTCACCCAACCCTGAAATCAGCCACAGAGGAAATTGTACAAGTTGTACAATGGTCTACTGAAAGGACAGGTGAGGAAGAGAGGAAGACCATTACGCTTAAAAACGAGGTCCAGAGCACTGAATCAGACCTGGTCAGCAAATTTCAAGAGAATCTATTCAAATTCCGTAAGCACCTTTTTAACATCAGGTGGCAATACAGTGCTTACAGACAGCTACGGGAAAGCCTCCAAGCCAACGAGTGCTTAATCCACATCGATTTCAGCTAAAATTACTCTTGCAAATATCACAACGAGATCCAGTCTGTGCATTTTGGAGGGTCCCATCAACAGGCAACGCTGCACACTGGTGTACTGTACACCACTGAACAGACACCACTGTCATTCTGTTCAATCTCATCCTCACGACGACATGACCCACCAGCGATCTGGGCCCACCTGGAGCCTGTCCTGGAGATGGTGAAGACCAAGTGTCCAAAGGTGGAAAGGCTTCACTTCTACAGTGATGGCCCGGCAACCCAGTACAAGCAAAAGGGAAACTTTTACTTTCTCTCCACTGAGCCATTCAGGCTTGGTTTCAAAGAACTGACCTGGAATTTCTTTGAGGCCAGCCATGGCAAAGGAGCTCCAGATGGCATCGGAGGGACATTGAAGCGGTCAGCGGACCGAATTGTGCGCTTGGGGGAAGATGTTCCAGATGCCATCACTCTTTTCAAAAAACTCAAGAGACTGGAATCAACAGTGGAGCTCTTCTTTGTCAGTGAAGAGGAAGTTGAAGCAAAAACAGAGGTAAAGATGCCCCGCACCCCTGCAAAAACATTCACAGTAGTCAAGTATTTTGAGGCCCTCTATACGTTGATAGTTATTGTTATTGGCCAAATATTTTGAATATTATATCTCATACTACTGTATATCCTCTCTTTTCACCTCAGGTCCCTGCTCTGACACCTATTAAGGGCACAATGAGGATGCACCAGGTGATCAGCGTCTTACCTGGGCATATCAAGTACAGGGACATCAGTTGTTTCTGTCAGAGGCAGGATGGTCCACTGGATTGTGCCTGCTTCGACCTGAAAGTAGCTACTGTGAATGGAGTTCCTGTGACCCCCCCAAATCAGAATGAAGAGACCCCATGGCGACCAGCGGCAGTTGACAGCACACACATTGGAGGGTGGTGCGTCATTAAGTATGACGATGATGTGTACCCTGGCATAATCATGGACGTGGAGGGCGATAGCATTCAAGTGAAGTGCATGCATAGAAATGGAGTAAACAAATACTTCTGGCCAAGACCACGTGAAGATGTCAGCTGGTATGCAGAGGAACAACTTATCTGTCTTATACCAGAGCCAAAGGCACTCAACAAACGCTCAGAGCGTCCAACTTGAGAAGCTTACATGGAAGTACCTAGAAAATAACTTTATGTAAACTAAAAATGTACTCGAAGTTATGCACGATGATCAGAGCTCTTGGTTAAGGTGTTCAGGCTACCAAACCCAGTGGTGTTCCACAAGCCACTGGTGGTGGCAAAAAACGAGCATGATTATAGTTGGCCTCAGCAAAGTGCCTCATAAAGCCTTTGCCTACCTGTTTGAGCCCTCCAAGTTTTGGTGTTGGCCTTTCTTTTTCCGTGATTTTTTTTATTAGAAATTCTGCTGAATAAATGAATTATGAAGCAAATTACTGTCTTCTTCATTAGCTGCCATTTTCCTCAGTCTCCAACGTAGGGCAATAGCCTACTGTACGTGCCCCACAGCAGGAAAATATTATGACATCACACAGACTTGCTCACAGGTCCTAGGGGCGTACCAAAGACCCCAAATCAAATTCTGATATATTTTTTTAATTCTGTTAATATTTGTTGCTACTCTAAAGTACACATTCTATAAGAAAACCCTGCAACCACAGACACAGCAGACCTTTGGGACGGAGATAGCCTTATGAAGAAGCAAAGGCAGATACACAAAGTTGCAGCTCCAGCTCCAAATAGTGGGTATATCAAACCAAAACGATTTGATATATTCAAACAATTTTAATAATTTAATATAAAAGATTGTTTTAACAATAGAATTAATACTGTAATATTTTAACCAAAAATTACACTTTAAAATGATAGGGCCTGGAGAGAAGGTCCTGAAGGCCCTGACGGACTTCCACTGGTGTCCACCCTGTTATGTTGGTATTTTTCTAGCATAGTTTAATGAAAATATCAAATATCAAGTGTATATTTGTACTTTTATAAAGAAATGAGAGAGGTTGATTATATATTCTAGAAACTTTTAGTAATACTTATTGTATTTAAGTTTTCTCATGGAAAACAGTGGAAAAATATGCCACGTTGTCATAATCTACACTTGTTTTTCTCAATATATACTACTTAAAACTAATTAGGAATGAAATATATATCTAATTAGAGTTAGGGACATACAACTCTTGTTAAAAAGTCACTTTAATTGTAAGAATGCACTGAAAACTCATTTAAGTAGTTATGTGTATGTCCTTAACAGGGTGGACATATCCCGGGTGTCACGTGTTGTTAATATATCTATATATATAAAGATTTAGGTGCCTGAGCTTGACCAAAATGTTTTTTAGCAAATTAGATATGTCCTTTATAGAATAGAACATTAAAAAGTAGGTAAATCAACTATTTATTTCACCCAACTTGTGAAGTCCAAATGGCACCCTATAAAAAAAATGACCCAGCTGGAGAATGTTGGTTTAGCCACTAACTAGGCTAACTACATTAGCCCTGTTTGTCCAACCCAGACTCATGGCATTTCGTGTTCACCAACACGATTTTTAATCTATTGATTCGTGTTCACCAACACGATTTCCCCCTTTTTTTCGTGTTGCACAGCTCGATTTTAAAAGCAATGTATTTCTACTGGTAATGTGTTTCGTGCCTGCAGCACGTCTTTTTCTCCGGTCGGGTCGTGGAAGACCGGAAGCTGTGTGGTTCATAAAAACATGTTCTTACTCAATATCAAGCCACAATTATTGCTTTTATTTGAAATCGTATAATTTCGGACTTTTGTTGCCGTCTGTGAGGCAAATAAATGGGGTTCAGAGCCTCAGAATACTGAAATCTGTATTTTTTAAATCTTATTTTCCTTCTAATTTGTTATTCTTTTCACAATAACACACTGTTATTTACTCACCAATAACACACAATTATCCTTGCTTTTATTTATTGGTTTAATTCGATAATCTCGGGCTTCTTTGGCGTCCGTCAGGAACTGAATTTCAAAATAAAAATAACCGGAAACAGACGTAGCCATTTCGAGCGATTACCCAAGATCCTCAGCTATGGGTTAAGCTCGCTGATTGGATGTTTTAGCCGCAATGCATGCTGGGATTTGGTGTTTATATGATATGAAATCCGGAAAACATTTTAAAAGAATAAAAGAATACTTAATGTTCTTGCTTTTCTCTTTGAAAGTCATCACATATCGGCATTGTAATACACGGTTCGGCTGCATTACATATTACAGATCTGCCGTAGTTCTTTATTTATAGAGCCCTGATGAGAAGACCTTTGGAAAAACTGGAAGAAATGCTGCCGAAACTGAATACTTGACGTGGATCATAAAGATATCAACAATTAAACAACATCTTCAATTTCTCTTCACACAATACGTCTCCTTGCAGTATCAACACTAATTCGGCTGACTTTTACATTTGATCTAATTCGTAGATAGGTTATATTTACACCATAACGGTGCACAGCTGATATAAAAGGACTTGTAGTTTTTAAAGATATTACCGATTTTCTTTGAATATAAGAATGTAAATACTGAGTCTGAAATAGTATAGCAATATGCTGTAAAATTATGTGAAAGCATGAATAAAATTACACATCTTCAGATGTTGTACATACACTGAACAAAAATATAAATGCAACACTTTTGTTTTTGCTCCCATTTTTCATGAGATGAACTCAAAGATCTAAAACATTTTATATATACACAAAATAACCATTTCTCTCAAATATTGTTCACAAATCTGAAAAAATCTGTGATAGTGAGCACTTCTCCTTTGCCGAGATAATCCATCCCACCTCACAGGTGTGGCATATCAAGATGCTGATTAGACAGCATGATTATTGCACAGGTGTGGATGTGTGAAATAGGAACCACAGCACGCTCTGGGGAGTCGTGCCCAATCTTTGGAGGTTAGCATCTCCAAACATATGAAAAAAGCAATTGTGTAGTTTGTCATCAAATGCGAAATAAGTTTTCGTCAGTATGGCCTGTTGAAAATATCATGAACCATTTGCTAGTTTCATAAAAAACTGGCTCAAAAACCTGCACTCTCCATGATAACACACATTATGCAGATTTATAGAAAAGACAGCATTGCTTCTTACTATAAACTTTGTATTGTATCATAGCTGTCATATCATTAGCAGTAGTCAATTTTTTTAAATATTTTATTTAGGTTATTTTACTTTACTTTATTTAATACATTTCTTGCAGCAACATTTGTACAGATGAATCAGATATATAAAAAAAACGTGGCCCTGTGTCGTGGACGTCGAATAGCTTGAACAATTCTCATGTTTGATTCTATACATTCAAGCTTTAATTCCATATTCTCACATTTCATTCAATATGCTCAACATTCAAACTATATATGTATGGTATAAAGTTAATGGGGTATTTATTGTTAGCACATTTCACTCTTCTTTCTACTATTTGTAAAATGGAATGGACACTAGAATAAGATTTAACATTATGAAAAGGCAAATAAAAATGTACTTTGATAAGTTCCCGATACAACAATGATGCAACAGTCCATTTAAAAAACAAATAGTGAGAGTTCTACTGCTCATAAACATGTTCATGTATATGACTGTCATTGTGCCTCCAACATGGCATGGCAGAGAGTCGATTTCACACTTCATGACACCCTGACAAACACCTGCTGGACTTCCTGTAGTCCTGGGTTTTAGTGGGATGATTCCTCCACAATCTGTCCATCATTTCAACTGCAGCACCACCTGAAAGACACAAATATACACACTATTAGCATTTCATGTGACTGAGGTGCAGATATTTACTACGTGTGTTTGTGTAGCGGTATAATGAGACAATAACAGGCTACAGATGCGGACATATACACACACATATATTTATATAAATATATACAATTTCAGAATCAAACAAGTATGAGTATATGGTTTATACATGTAATTACTGGGGTTCCATTTCTTCTGATTACCTAATTTGGGCATGTACATTTGCCACGCGCAAACCTACCTCTTTTGGATTTGGAAAGGTTGGCATGTATGCGCACTGTACAACACGCACCTACACACTGTACCACACACACCTACACACTGTACCACACACACTTACACTAATATATATATATATGTATATACATATATATAAAATAACAATTTCATTATATGGATTCAACTTGTGCCCCGCTGGACTTGTCTGTGGTTTAGCCGTTACTGTGACATCAGTATCAGCCATGGAAGATAGTTTGTTTGTTTCATTCTAAGCTATCCAGCAAGGTTATTTTCATTTATGTTGTTTTTTTTCTGCACAGTGTAGAGTCTTGTTGTGATGAGAGGGATGGAGGTATTTAATAAAAACCTTGCTCGCTGGAGAATAGCTACAGAAGTCCTGTCACAAGTTAATCGGAGAGGATCACAGCTGGCCACGGATCTCGATGCTGCATTCGGCTGTGAGTAAACAACTTGTGTCTTACTTTTAGGCTGTCTGGAGGTATGGACAGCTATCAAAGCTACTAAACATCACATTAACAACGATGTACAAATGAAAGTTGGAGACAAATACATATTTGAAATGATTTATTCACGTTTGCAATGTTTTGAACAGACATCCCAACGTCACCTCATTGTCATTTTGTAGTCCTCGTTGTACGCGTCCGGATATCGGTATCGCAACCTCACACACTGGTACTGAATGTGCATCAAAGTGTTCCTATGGAGCCAAATATACCAAAATATCAATGTAAACAACAGAAGAAGCGATCGAAATGTGTATTTCCTGGTTATTCGACAATGGCTCCTCAAAGTACACGTCCCATTCCTACCGTTAACGTAACGTCACGAGTTCCCCGGTGTAACCAGTTATGATAAAGGACACATCCTTGACCTTGTCTGCTCCACCAACCTCCCAGTATTCGACCTCCACCCCTGCCCCTTTCCCCTCTCTGACCACAAACTCATACAGTTCAAAATGTCGCTTTTAAAACCTCCTCACCCTGGTTCACCCCTGCACTCCGTAAGCTGAAGCAAACCGGCCGCCAGCTTGAACGCCTAACTATGAAATCATCCCTCACAGTTCACCATGAATCCTACAAACTCCATCTCACTACCTACAAAGACGCCCTCACTGCCGCAAAAACTGCTTACCTCTCCACCATCTTTACCGACCCCTCCCATAACCCCAGGACCCTCTTCTCCACCGTCAACAAGCTCCTCAAACCCCGTGCTGACACCCTCCCGTCCTCCACTTCCACTTTATGCAGTTCATTCCTCCAGTTTTTCTGACAAAATCACTGCCATTAATCTCTCCCTATCCGCTGCATCTGACACATATACATCTCCCCCAGCATCCACCGCCACAATTTCTCCCCCCATCTCCCTGGACCTCCCGAGCCCTCCTCCCCACGGCCTCCTCTCCCAGTTCACTCTGGTTACCCTCTCTGAAATACTCAAACTGATCAGCTCCTCCAAACCCACAACCTGCTCGCTTGACCCTCTACACACCCCTCTACTGAAGTCCTGCCTCCCCGTCCTCTGGCCCTAGCTTGTCAACCTTTTCAACTCCTCCCTGTCCCAAGGAACCGTTCCCTCTGCCTTCAAAACGGCTGCTGTCATTCCCATCCTCAAGAAACCCGGTCTGGATCCCTCCTCCCTCAGTAATGACCAGAGGTGTGTCATTAATTTGATGACTTGAGACTCGACTTGACAAAATCACAACACACTTGCGTTTCGACTTGGACACCAATGACTCGGGACTTGACTTGGACTTGAGCCTTCTGACTTGAGGTGACTTGATTATTTAAGTCAGAGGTCTCCAACACGCCGATCGCGAGATGCCGCTAAAAGAGCAGACTCCCGTTGGGGAGAGCAGAATCTTCAGCCACTCCTACTCTTGCTGAGAATCCTTGCAGGCAGGGGCGGGACTTTATTTAGCTGGGCCACAATGCGGCCAATCATATGCGAGGACACACTAGGATCATACCATTATGTGAAAGAAGGGTGGGGGGCACAGCAGATGTAGTGGTATAGGCCAGCTACACAGAGCGACGGGGAGACGGATTTAAATGCAAGCGCGTCGGAAAAGTCAAGAAATGAGCGAAAACCGAAAAAAGAAGCAGCATCTGGCTGCTTTTCAATGATATTGGAGAAAGCAAAGCTGAGTGCAGGATTTGTAAAATGAAAATAACCTTCAGAGCAGGTTTTTTTTTTGGTAACCAGATCTTGTACTTGAGTAAAGTACCAGAGTGTAGGAATACTCGGTTACAATAAAAAGTCCTGCATTCAAAATGTTACAAGTAAAAGTACAAAAGTATTAGCATCAAAATATACTGTAAGTACCACCTGCAGAGGGATGTAGATGCAGGTGTTCTTTTCCCCATAGAGACCGCCTCGCTGCACATTATCCCTTGCATAAAGATAGATTGTGGGTCCCTTATAACATGTTGTACACAGTGGAAATAAACATTCTGGTTGACTCAACATCAGGGATCTTATACATTAAACTCCTTCTGAATCAAACCGTCACGGTAGCCTTACCTTACTGATCCCTCTTAAATTCGAAAAAACACGTTACTTTACCAGCAGAGAGAAAATGGATTATTAAATTATTAATGTGACTAATAAAGAACGGTTTGATTATTAAGTATTATTCTGTTGATCGATGTCATTACATTTGGTGAAAAGCACATAATGACTTGTTTATGACTCGTTTTGTCAAAGTTTAGGACTTGGACTTGACTTGAACTTGCCCATCCTGACTTGAGACTTGACTTGGACTTGAGCGCAAAGACTTGAGACTTGACTCGGACTTGAGCGCAAAGACTTGAGACTTGACCCGGACTTGCAAAACAATGACTTGGTCCCACCTCTGGTAATTACCGCCCCATCTCCAACCTCCCCTTTCTCTCAAAAACAATAGAACGCATCATCTCCAAACAACTCCACCGCCATCTCCAAACCAACCAGCTTTTTGAACCCCTTCAGTCTGGTTTTCGTCACCACCACAGCACAGAAACGGCACTCATCAAAGTCCTCAATGACCTCCTCACCTCTGCTGACACCGGTTCCCTCAACATCCTCATCCTCTTCGACCTGAGTGCAGCCTTCGACACCGTGAGCCACACCATCCTGCTTACCCGACTCCAGGATATCGGTATCGAAGGTACTGCACTCAGGTGGCTCCAGTCCTACCTCTCCGACAGATCCCACTTAATCTCCCACAACAACCACCCCTCTGCCACAGCTTCAGTCACCCAAGGTGTTCCCCAAGGTTCAGTACTCGGCCCCCTCCTCTTCATCATCTACATCCTCCCCCTTGGTCAGATTCTCCGCCAATACAACCTGGACTTTTACTGTTACGCTGACGACACACAGAGTTACCTCAGCACCAAATCCCCCCACAACCCCACCTCACCCACATCGAATCCTGTCTGACTGCAATAAAATCCTGGATGCAACATAACCTCCTCAAACTCAACAGCAATAAAACGGAACTCCTCTTCATCGGCTCCAAATCCACCCTCAGCAAAACCCCCAACCTGACAGTCACCATTGATGGCACCCCTGTTTCCCTTTCCACCCAGGCACGCAACCTTGGCATTATATTTGACCCCACCCTCTCCCTCGAGCCCCACATCCGTCAAGTTGTAAAAACCTCATTTTTCCACCTCCGCAATATTGCCAAACTCCGTCCCTCTCTCACCCGCCCTGCAGCTATGCGACTCATTCATGCCTTCATCTCCTCCCGCCTTGACTATTGCAACTCACTCCTCTACGGCATCAGCACTACATCCCTCAATAGACTCCAGCGTGTCCAGAACGCAGCCGCCAGACTCCTCACCCACACCAAATCATGGCATCAAATCACCCCGGTCCTCAAAGAACTCCACTGGCTCCCCGTTTCAGACTGCATCCATTACAAACTCCTGGTCCTCACTTACAAAGCCCTCCATCATCTGGCCCCTCCCCCCTACCTCACTGACCTCCTCATCCTCTACCAACCACCCCGGTCCCTCAGATCCACCTCAGCCGGTTTGCTTTCCATCCCCAAGGCCAAACTCCGGAGCTTCGGGGATAGAGCCTTCTCTGTGGCAGCCCCGAAGCTCTGGAACTCCCTCCCCCAAGACCTCCGTGAGTCTGAGTCCCTCACCCTGTTCCAGTTCCGCCTCAAAACCCACCTCTTCAACTCTGTATCCATAAGCCCCTCCCCCTCTCAACCAACTCCCTCCTGACTGCTTTTCTGTTTTGTTTTGTTTCTTTGTTTCTTTGTTTTTGTTTTGTTTGTCTACCCTCCCTCCCAGATGTAAAGCGTCTTTGGGTTCAAGAAAAGCGCTATAGAAATATAATTTATTATTATTATTATTATTACACAGTACACACTGTACAACCCTACACACTGTACAACACGCACCTACACACTGTACCACACGCACCTACAGCTCCTAAAGCATATAATATATCAGGGTACAGCCGTTTTGTATTTTATTATGTGAAGCACTAAATGGTTTTTAGAAAAATATGTATCGACTCTTTGTTTGTAGATATCTACTAAACTACAGCAAATAAAGAGAGTAGGCCTGTTATACTGAGTGATATATATTTTACACACTGCTCTGCTTTCTGCACGGACCTCACAGCTGTTCTCACTGTAAACATTGCGTTGCGATGATAGCAGTTTCTAAAATAATATCCAGGGGATGCATGCAGAGCTGTCATTGGCTGAGATAAGTCCGGCCGTGCGTAACGCCTCCACCGTTCCCGGAAATGCGTACGCGGAGGAGCCGTGGAGGAACCATCAGTGTATCCTCGGTTAGAGCTCCTCCAGAGAGCCCCCTCGATGCTCGGTCCTCGATGTGCATTTAGAGAAATGAGATGTCCATCAACATGGCGCGCTGAAATCCATTTCCAGGTCACTACCGGAGGACCGAGGAGTCGAGGAGTCGAGATGGGGAAATTAGAGAATTGAGAAGCCTTCAGAGTGTTTGCTTTAATCATAGTGCGGCTCTGTGTTCATGCTGTAACAATGTCGCCTAGTGTTTCTCCTCCATTACTGTGGAACATTTGGCATCTATAAACACCTTATTGGGCTGCATAATGTATTTGAAAATGTATCACAAATGATTTTGCTTCCCACAAATAAATGAACATGACCAACTGTGAAACTTACAAGGTGAATGATGCGGCTGCAGTCCAGAGTAATAGAGTAACAGTAACACTATTTATTATTAAATATTATGTAATATATTCAGTCGTAGAAGGTGTATTGAGATCAATATAAGTGTAAAGATACTCTATCATTTTCTAAATATTACTCTATGGAACATAAGTCTTATTATCAAATTTGAATTAAAGAACCAAAAGTAAATGTACTCATTTTGTACAATTATTTGATTATAATTATTGATACATTATCACTCACACATCACATCTGGTGAAGTTAGAGCTCATTTAACAACTTTTTTTACTGCTTGGTACTTTTATCAATAATAGTACATGATGATTATCTAGTTGTTTTAAATGTGGTAGTATTCATCTGAATCAAAGGACAAATGTAGTGCTGTGAAAAGGAACATGTATGCTTCTTAGATGTAGTGGAATACTAGTATAATGTAAAGAAAGAAAAAAATGAAATACGAGAATGAGTTCCTCTAAGCTGTAATAAAAGTACAGTACTTTTATTAAATTGTATATAATGATGACATAAAGTTAGGCGCACCCAATGCAGAAAATAAGTCTGGAGTATACAACTAAAAGCAGACGGGAAAAAACTAAATGCACTAAATTTAGTGGACTTTAAATTATTAATTTTAATATTTATTTTATAATCATTCTTATTTTTGATGCAAAGATTATAGATAAAAAAATTTCCCCAAATAATTGAAAAATCCCTATCATCATATTGATTCATAAGATTACCTTGTTGGCGGCCTCTAGGGAACTGATGAGTGTGTTTAACTCCTCTCGGTTCATCTCCATGGTGACGGAGCGCAGGGCTGCGTCCTCCCTCACATCCAGACTGAGGCTGAGCAGAGGGGTGTGCAGGGACGAGATCTTATCACTGGAGAGGGACAGCTGCAGGGGGGGGGGCACAGAGGGGAGGGGGTCAACTTTAGAGAGACTTGTCTTCTAATGCCCCTTTTCCACCAAACCGGTTCAAGATCCGTTCTTGTGCTTTTCTGGTGCTTAACTGGTTCTTCTCTGTATCACCACTTGTGTTTCCACAGGCACCCGTCATAATATGCTAGACCCTCCAGAAAAACGTGATTCTGCGATCGCAGAATTTACCGCATAATCAGCAAAATGGCGCAGATTTTTTAAAAGGCCGCATATTTATCAAAAGGCCGCATAATCCCCGCATTTTTCCACACAAAGTTGAGCAAAAAAAAAGTTAACTCGTCTTGATGTGAAGTAGTGATGAGCTCGCGCTCGCGCATCACAGAAGGTAAACAACACCGTAGAGTGAACGTGTGGAGCTCACACGCGAGAGAAAACACCAAGATGAAAACATCTAATCCATCTCATTTACCAACGAACATTTCTGCTAAAGACCGGGCAAAGCAGTTCCCCGATGTCTTGCACGAAAGTGGGGGGAAACTATTCTGCACCCCGTGCAACTGTGTGTTGGAGCATAAGAGAACATCGACGGTGACGACCCACTTTGATTCATTCAAACATTCGAACATGCTTTCTGCTGCTGCGGACAAGAAAGCCAAACAACTCACGTTCACCGAGGCATCGACCTCCAAAACCCTTTCGAGGGCTACAAGAAACGAGGTGAGAAGCCTACAAGATTGAAGCTGGTCAGATAACGAACGAGCAGTGGCGTTTTCTCCCGGAGGCCAAGGGAAGCTAGGCTTCCCCTGTTTTTTCGGATTGTAGTTATAATTTAAATAAATAAATAAAAACACTTTGTTTTGTTTCGATAATTCTCCTTTGCTGTGTGTTGCTGCCGGCCCGTCTCTCCCCCATTCTCATTGAGTATTTTACAAAGAGTGAAACAAACAGCGCCCCTCTAGATGTTATGGTGAAACAGTAGATTGCACTCACTGTTAAGAGAGGAGGCCAGCCGTTTGGGCTGGAGAGTGCGTGCGGACCTGTCGGTTAGATAACAGGCGTGTGTAAGTCCTGCATCTGTATGATACAAATGTGTGTAAAATGAAACCGGGTGCTGTAATCACTCATCTGGTTACGTTATTACATTGACCACCATACCCCCGACCCAAAAGAAAGGACGTATTATTGGCTTCCCCTAATTTTTTTCCCACGCCACGCTACTGCGAACGAGTAAATGAAAACAGAATGAGGCGGAGAAGTATGTGTGTGTGTGTGTGTGTGTGTGTGTGTGTGTGTGTGTGTGAGTGTGTGAGAGAGAGAGAGAGAGAGTGTGATTAAAATAGCCCAATTTCTTTTACAATAAATAAACATTGAATGTGTTTAATTGAATAGGAAAGGGGTTTAACGTTAGTGGCAGGTTGTGTGTGAGAGAGAATCAATAAATAAGACAGCCCAATATTTTAAAAAAAATCTATTATTTTTCGCAACTTTCCGCAATTTCACCGCATTAAATCCCATAAAAACCCTGCATGTTTAATCGCATAATCAAGGATTTTTGCCCGCGTTTTTTTTGGAGGGTCTAATATGCTGTAGGTCTTCAGGCAGTCATAAATGCATTAATGACACTTTACCTGAGTCACAACGCAGACTCTATGCATTACATTAATGCACACAATGTTGACAATATCTGTTTTTTTTACTGCACATATTTTATATCATTCTATTTCAATGTAAATACTGCTTTATTTTATTAATGTTTCTATTTTACTATATTTTTCATTATTATTATTATTTTTTTAATGTTATTATAGTTTTCTTAAAATAGTTCTCCATCTGTGTTTTTGAATTTTTGTTTTACTTTGATGTATGCACCACCAATTCTTCGTACGTGTCAACCTACCTGGTAATAAACCTGTTACTGATTCTGCAAAAAGTCACACCCCCATGACGAGAACAATCTACCAGTGCTGAGCTGCATCTCAAATGAATCTTTAGAGCTAATAAGAATTACAAATAAAGCATGGAGTGACCTTGAGTTGCCAGTCGAAGTCCTGCAGCGTGGCGGAGGAGATGGAGTTGGTTCTGTCCAGCAGAGCGTGGTGGATCTCCTCCCGTCTGGCCCTCAGCACGCTCAGCACCGCCTCAGCATGGCTGCTGCCAACATCTGCCAGCCCCCCCCAGCACCTGCACGAGAAACAGAGCTGAGACCACAGCCAGCATCCTGCTCTGCTGTATGAAGCATGGAGGTATACTGAGAACTGGATAAAGCATTGCCGGTCATTATGGCCAAATGAAACTGACTCTGGAGAACAAGCACTCGGATGTTCTGACAGCCCTGTGCAACCAATGAGTTTGTTTATTCTTATATTGTGCCAGAAAACCGTTTCATATTTGTATTATTTATAGAAAACATGAATTCTTCAGCCCTTCATCGTACAAACTCTGAATGAACACAAATACCTCAAAATAACTTTTTCAAAAGCCTCTTTAATGTGCTATATAATAACCTCAATGAGAAGACTTGAAATACCAACAGTCAGTGGTTGTATTTCATTCATTGTCCCTCATAATCTATTATTACTCGTGATTCTTCCGATGATAGTAAAATGCTTATTGAATAGAATCACATTTCCATTCATTCAATTCAATTCAATAATACATTTAGAAGACAAGCTTTTATTTGATGCACTTCTAAAGGCATGGAACATACAGATGCACAGACGTATTTCAACAAAGAATGTACAATGTAAGTCAATAGAAGCACTGTGTTGGCCTGGTGGCATCAGGTGACTGTAACAGAGGTTGTAGCTCCACACTTTGGCCACTAAGAAAAATGTTGCTCCAACCTGAGTTCAATCATTTAGTAAAGGTCTGCCATATAAATGTAGAAAATAAAGTCAGCTGTTCGTCCTATTCAGTCCCCAACAGAAGTCACACACCCCTGGCTCTCACCTCCTCCTCGGAGCTGTCGCTGCCCACTGCCCGGCGGTAGAAGGCGCTCAGGGAGTCCAGCAGCTGCAGCCACTCCTCTGGGCTCCAGGTGGTGCTGTGCTCTGACCTGCGGGGGGGCTCCCTGCCACACAGGCCATCCACCACCCTGTGACAAAACTACACACCAGACAGAACCCAATATGCATGTTGGTTAGGGGAAAACACAAGCAAGTACCTTTGGTTTTTACATTATTTGTTCAATTTTTATATAAATGTGGGGGAAAAAGTAATTTGGTCTGTTTGGGCTCCCATGATGGGGCCTTTAGCTGGGATGTGAGTGACACAGATACTGGTTATACATCCCAGCATCCAAAGACTCAAAGGCTTTCACATGCACAATAACTACAGTGCAGTTTGGGCAATGCAAATCCCAGGCTCCTATGAAAATGCACAATACACAGACATAATAGAAAAAGAGGCAACATTTTGCAAATAATTGTGAATTAGATATAATGTTGCAAGAGAGATAAAGGAATAAGAAAACAAATACAAAAGCAATATATAAATATTAGGAAAAGGAAGAAAGAAAGAAAGACATAAAATACAGTGAAATAAAACAAGTATAACATATAAAACAGTTAACTCATTAATGCAAAAGAGTTACCACAATAATAGAGATTAATGACAGTCATATCTTAATCATGAAATACAAATCAAAGCAGTGTGAGATAGAATATGATACAGACACTTTGGTAACTGGATTAAAACATGCTTATTTTAGAAAATGAATAGTGTGATTTTAAACTAAATCTGATCCTCTTAAAAATACAGAATATGTGACATATGTATTACGTAGAATTACGTTAATAATATCAATTTATAATTGCTATTAGCAGGTATTACATTGAGTTGGATGCAGTGGTAGAAAAAGTACTCTGCTAAAAGTAAAATAGCAAGACTAAATTGTAAAAATACAATAAAAAGGCCTACATTGAAAATCATAATTAAATAAAAGTAGTAAAGTATTGGCATCAACATAGCCACTAGAATGATGAATGATGGTCTATTTCAGAATATATATACATATGTCCGGTAATTTGATATGTATCAAAGTACCAGATTATGATCATTGATGTATTATTGTGTTTATCACAGCTGTTAAAGGTGGAGCTACACATATTCCCAACATTTTACAAAGCCAATAGTGATTCAATTGGACCCACACTGAAAAACTAAAATGTTTAAATGCCTCTATATATATGTATTAGTTATAAAAACAAGATACTATACATGTATATAATAATATAATACTCTAAACAGAATCATTATGCATTCCCAGTACTTTTACATTTGACACTTAGTTTATAATACTTCTGTAGGTCTACTTAAGTATGTTCAACAGTAGTTTACTATTTAATTACTTTAGTATTTGTACTTTTACTTAAAAAAATAATCTGAGTACTTCTTCCATCACTGAGTACTTCGCCTGTTGTGTAGTAAGGCACGAGCCAACATTGAGCCAGTCCTTCACTAATATTAAACATTAATTGGTTTATCTCCATGTTTTCGCGCCAACAGGTCCATGATGATATATTTAACAAAGTTAATGTGCATCAGTATTCATGGTTACAGCGCCTGGTACTCACCTTAATACACTCTGTGGCAGGCAGCCTGCTCAGTAACACCACCATGTTTTCCTCTGCTTCCGCCCTCCGCTTGCTGGTCAGCTGACGTCAGTCACATGATAGAAACAGAGGCATTCATGATAGCCTGGAAAAATGGGTTTCATCATTTCTTATGACTTCTTAGGATGTTAAAATACCATTAGTATATATAAATGCTGTTGTATACGCATTATTCGGTTTGCATATTTGTATGTCTTGCCATTGATGTTGGCTCGCAAGGCGAACTCCATATATACATTAGCCATTTTAGTGGGACATGTTCGTTGAAAAGTGGGCAAACAGCAGTGAGAGTGTTGAAAACAGGTCAACAATGTGACTTTACTATATAAAAACGATTAATGACTTTAGTACCGATTGTACTAAAAAGTCTCAATAATTGCATATATGAAGAGCATCCATTAAATTACACACTGATATTGAAGCCATTTTGAAATGTTACAATTTGTCGATAGAGTTCTGTCGGACGCCCTACACGGGAAAGGGGAGCTTTTAAAGCCGGTGATTTGTTCACATCCTGCTTTGATCAGCAGCAGCAGGGGGCTGTTTGTGGTCGTCTCGCGGGGTCAGTCAGAACAAACATTGAAGAGATGGGATGTAACGTCACTTGAAAAATAGACATCGTGTGGTGTTAAAATGCTGGGTAAGTAAGGGTGGTCCTTCTCTGTTTCTGCTGTGGATAAATCCGCGGTTTTTCTGGAATTCTCGTGTTGCTCTGTTCATCCATCACAGTAATGGAGAACTCTGTAGCTACTGTAGGTATACTGTACTGTCAGTATTGTTACGTCAGGACCATAAACGGTGTGCTGAGAGCCAATAATCAGCTGCTGCACCGAATATGTTTTGATGGCTGCAATATTGACATAGCAATAAATGGGTTGAGGTCTGTAAAGACTACAGTTAGAAACCCTCAGGGGGGCTTTTGGGTAAACAGGTGTGTTTCGTTTACGGATAAAGTTGAGTCCTACAGTAGTACAGTATGACTTTAGTGGACTTTCAGTAGATTGCATCAAAGCATGCAACCAGTTTGTGCTGATTGCTTGTTGTTAAATCTTAGAAGAAGGATATTTGTTGTGCTGTATCTTATAAACATAAAGCAAGGGTTTAATGGTGATCAGCAAAAGTGGAAGAAGTACTCAGATCTGTAAATTGTAAAGTCCTGTATTACAAATGTTACTCAAGTCAAAGTACACAATTATTGACGTCAACATATACTTAAGAACCAAAAGTAAATGTAGGCCTACTCATTATGCAGATGAACCCATTTTCTAATAATATATAATGGTAAATGGATTGTATGATGTGTTTTGACTATAATTATTGATGTGTTTATCGAAGCTGGTAAAGGTGGAGCTAGTTTTAATGACAAATGTTGATCATATTGTTATCATTAATCTATATCTACAAAGTAACTAAAGTTACTATATACATGTTGTGGAGTAAAAGTACACCATTTACCTCTGAATTGTAGTGGGGTAGAAGTACAAAGTAACATAAAATGGAAATGTGCAAGTACCTCAAAATTGTACTTAAAGAGCAACTTGCAGGTTGTTTTTTTTACTACATTTATGCTTAACCTTGCCTGAAAATTACAATTACAAATGTTAATGCAGGATTTGATATGTTTTACTAGACATAAGGAATTCAGAGGGAAAGGATCCGTTTTGAGCTCTGCTACTAAAAATTGCTTTTTTTAACATCATACGTCAAACGCGTCATATTACGTCACATGGGGGAGCAACTTTCTCGGACTCCTTCTCTGCCCAATCCGCGGTAGTAGTTTGTAGTTGGTTTGAGCGGTTGTGATTTAGTGAGCTGGTATTTTTTCGGTAATTTTACATTGCATTTCACCATTTGTAATCATGGTGAGCTTGTGTTTGTGCAGGTTGCACAAACTCCAGCCTGTCAGGACATCGAGTCCACAGTTTCCCTAACAGGAAAAGGACCGGAGCTAGCATTCGTTCCTGGGTGCGTTGTGCACATACTCTCCACAGCTGAAGCCTATCAAGCAAAACGTTTATCAGGAAACCGTATTACATCTATCTCCCCTACGGTACACAGCACCGTAAGACGTAGTGTGGAGTTGCATTAGGTAACGCTGTGGTGGCTGTACTGCTCCAGCCGTCTCCTTTGTGTTTGTTTGTTTGTTTGTTTGTTTCCCCCTGTCTGTGTTGTTTGTGTGGGCGTGGTGGCTCGTGGCTGTCACTCCTGGCTCCCGGATCAACCTCCACTCACCTGCTGCAATCAGCTGTGCACCCTCCCCGACTACACACCTGCTTTCCATCAAGCCATTTACAACGACATATCAACGGAGGCTCCACAACCTTTCTCCACCAGATCGTCAAGTATCAGTCGTATCTCGCGTCAGTATAAACAGTCCTGCCAGTAACGTTACTATATTATCAATACTACTTTAGTTATAGCCTGATATATGATAGCTAACTTTACAATGTTGCAGAGGTGTGGACTCGAGTCACATGACTTGGACTCGAGTCAGACTCGAGTCACACATTTTATGACTTGAGACTCGACTTGACAACATCACAAAAGACTTGCGACTCGACTTGGACTTGAACACCAATGACTTGGACTTGAGCCTTCTGACTTGAGGTGACTTGCTACTTTAATTCAGAGGTCTCCAACACGCCGATCGCGAGCTGCCGTTAGAAGAGCAGACTCCCGTCGGGGAAAGCAGAATCTTCAGCCGCTCCTACTCTTGCTGAGAATCCTTGCAGGCAGGGGCGGGTCTTTATTTAGCTGGGCCACCATGCGGCCAATCATATGCGAGGACACACTAGGATCATACCATTATGTGAAAGAAGGGTGGGTGCACAGCATGTGCAGAGCGACGGGGAGACGGGGAGCCGGATTTAAATGCAAGCGCGTCGGAAAAAGTCAAGAAATGAGCGAAAACCGAAAAAAGAAGCAGCATCTGGCTGCTTTTCAATGATATTGGAGAAAGCAAAGCTGAGTGCAGGATTTGTAAATGAAAATAACCTTCAGAGCAGGGTAAACACTCAGGATTTATTGTCAGAGGTGGGAGAAGTTCAGACAATTAAACAAAGTTACAATCAGGGTTCCCGCGGGGTCTTAACAAGTCTTACATTTGATAATCAGAATTTAAGGCCTTAAAAAGGTCTTAAATATGATTCAGAAGGTCTTAAAAATTATCGGATTTGAAAGGTACTTCTGTGTTGCGATAGCGTCTAAATGTGTTTTGGGGGAAATGTCCGGGCTGCAAAGTAACCAGTACGGTAATAGCCGTTCAGTTCCCCCCCAACAATTTGTATTGAATTAAATCAACATGGAACCAGTAATCACTAACTTTGTTTCCCCCGGCCCCTTATTGGAGAACACCCAGCTAGTAACCTAGCAACCAAGCTTCAGCTCATGTAGCCTATCTTCGAATCTACTTACAAATAAATATGGGGAAGTGTAAGTTCAACCGTATTTGGTTGGAAAACATTTAATTTAGTGCTTGGTTGAAACCAGTGGAGGGAACGTGTTTGAAGCCCGCTGCACCTTTTGCAAAATAAATTAGTGTTTGTTTTGCTAATGTAGCGTTAGCTAGTGGAGTGTTAGCTAGTGGAGCAGCAGCTAGTGGAGCAGCAGCTAGTGCAGCGTTAGCTAGTGCAGCAGCAGCTAATGTAGCGTTAGCTAGTGCAGCGTTAGCTAGTGCAGCAGCAGCTAGTGCAGCGTTAGCTAGTGGAGTGTTAGCTAGTGCAGCAGCTCCCGCAACAACACCGGGGGACCTCCGGGCGAAGTTTGGGTCTACGTCAACCCTAAAAGCGGAGGTGCTGTAGACGCTAAATACCGTAGCTAAACACCAATCATATAACAGCAACGATGAAATAGTGTAGCCAAGGCAGCAGAGCTCAGTCTGAATATAGCTCTTGTCACTCTCTCTCAGAGACACACACACACCACACACACACACACACACACACACACACACACACACACACACACACACACACACACACACACACACACACACACACTAGGGCTGCTCGATTATGGCAATAATCAAGATTATGTTGGTCAATAATTAATATCACGATTATTAAATATGATTATTCATTGACTTTGAAAACATCCATTTATTGAACTTTAAAACAGATAATAATTTGAACAGTATCTTTTTAACTGTTGATTACCCTGAACGTATAATTCAACTGAAAAACCAATACAAAAATTAATTAAATAAATGATACATTACTAAAAAAATCATTAGATCAAATATGTTGTGGTGCACTGTCACAACCTAGCAAAGCAAAATAATCGTTTTTTCCGATTATGTTGTTTTCGTAATTGTGGCAGGCCAAAATCGTAATTGCGATTAAAATATGATTAATTGCACAGCCCTAACACACACACACACACTCAAGCGCACACACATACACACATACACACGCTAACACAGTTCTGTACTGTTATGCTGTTGTGTTCAGTCATTGTTCTTATGTTGAACATGAATACATTTACTTTGTAAGTGATTATGGGACGTATTTCTTCTTTATATACATTTTCCTTCACACTTTATTGCCGTGAAATAGGTCTTAAATTCTATTCAAAGTGGTCTTAAAAAGGTGTTAAAAAGTCTTAAATTTGAGTTGGCGAAACCTGCAGGAACCCTGTACAATAAAAAGTCCTGCATTCAAAATGTTACAAGTAAAAGTACAAAAGTATTAGCATCAATATATACTTAAAGTACCACCTGCAGAGGGATCTAGATTCAGGTGTTCTTTTCCCCATAGAGACGCCTCGCTGCACATTATCCCTTGCATAAAGATAGATTGTGGGTCCATTATAACATGTTGTACACAGTGGAAATAAACATTCTGGTTACCTCAACATCAGGGATCTTATACATTAAACTCCTTCTGAATCAAACCGTCACGGTAGCCTTACCTTACTGATCCCTCTTAAATTAGAAAAACACACGTTACTTTACCAGCAGAGAGAAAATGGATTATTAAATTATTAATGTGACTAATAAAGAGCAATTTGATTATTAAGTATTATTCTGTTGATCGATGTCATTACATTTGGTGAAAAACACATAATGACTTGTTTATGACTCGTTTTGTCAAAGTTT